CTCCTTATGTTCCAAAATGTCTATGGCACAAAGCAGACATCAGTCATAACCTATTTTTCTTCACAGCTTTGCTGAAATGCCCCGCAAGTCAAATACAAGCTCATAAATGTTAAGACACTAGAAGAAGATACGCCACCACCCTGAGGCACTGGACGTCAATATGTATCTGCATGCATCTGTGCTCAAGTGACGTTAGTAAGATTGGCACGTGTACAAGCTTCATTTTATAATGTCTACTTAACTCCTTAATAGTTGAAATAAATTCTGTACCTCTAAATGCAAACACTGAGCACCTGTCCTTTTCCTTGAATGACAGACCAGTATACAAATTATACTAGTACCTGCTTTATTATTTTTATTCTAGTAGCTTACAGTGGGCAGATATAACAGTGTGAATCATTTTGGCTATGTGTGCAGGGAATATAAAAGCTTTGGTTTAAAGTAATTCTAAAAATACAGATTGTGATGCAAATACGAAGTCATCAGGCAGAGGGAATAATAGTATTCATGATTTAATGCCTTTGTTGTTATTAACAACAATATGACTGTCAATTAAAACGCACAATTATGAAAAAACCCAAAGAATTATGTAAGAGACTGTGTACGAAAACAGACACAATTTACTTTCATTTACTATGACTCCTCCCTCACCTTCCTGAAACTCAGCCTTGACTACTGTCACTTCCACTGAGAAAAAAAAAAAAATCTCTAAGCTCCTGAAAGCGCTCTACAGCTCTGAAAGGTGAGGATGGAGAAAGATGGATGGCCCTGATCCTTCCCATACCTATTAGGGCATGTTACTCAGACCATGGCAGAAGTCAAAGCAAAGTTAAAAGATGACGATGAAGGAGGAACAGTGGATTCACAGCATGCCTTCCCTAGCCAACCAATAAGAGGTATAAGAGAATTTCCTTTTGAATACTTGGTAAGCTAAGGAAGCTGGTTTAGATAATGTCTGGCAGAAATTCTATCCAAAAGAATTCATGAAGAACTATGTTAAGATCAATTACTTTCTATTTAAGAAGTATACATAAGCTCATTTTTACACACACACACACATACACACACACAAATTGAACTTTAGTCTATTTTTAGCAACCAAAAGTTTGGCAATTTATAATAAATACCTTTATTAAAAATCACTTATACTAGCTACTTATGAAAAATGTACTGGCGTTCCTACTTGAGGATGATTACAGTCATCCATCATCAGTAGGTCTTAACATTTTTTGAGTTGTTCTTCCAAGAATAAAGACTGATCTAATCGAGCATTCATATCTTTGCTTCCTTCCCACCTTGCTCCAATTCCAACCACATGCACGCCCACGCCCGCGTGCACACACATGCACTCTCAATTCTCTCTTCACAGAAAAGCTAGAATATTAGTAAAAATGTTAGTTTAAAACTAAGGATTAGAATTCACTACCCCTGTATTTCCTGCTCAATGCCCTAAGTCTCATTGCCTCAACATTTTAAAACTATTTAAACGATCTCTTTAGGGCAAAAAACAACCACTCTAGCTCAGCTATGAAAAATCACAACTAAATCATAGTATAAAGAACTTGGACGATGTCAATGTGATTAAAAATCAAGTAGTCAACTCAGAAAACAATTTGTTATCTTTCTTTAGAATGAGAATCCATCTTACTATGTTTATTTTAGGAATTCATGTCTAGTGGAGACTGCAATGTGTCTATCACAAATGCTAATGTTTCTTCTCTCCTAACATTAAAAAAAAAAGAGGTAGAAAAAGATAGGAGGAGGAAGCAGGCATTAAGAAACATTTAAGGGCCAATATACAGTTTAAGGCCAAATGAATTCATGAAGCCTATTGATTTTGGAAAAACATTTTCATTTTGGTGGGTAACTTGAATTAGTAAAATAAAATAAAATTAAGGCATACAGAGAAAAAGGCACTACTAAAAATTAATAACTGCTTTACATTAACTGTTAACCAATTTCAAAATTCAAATAAATATGCACATTATAATAAAAAACAAATGCTAAGCTTAAAGATAAAATAATATGGTCTGGAGAAATTGTCAAGCATAAATAACAATGTTGACAGAGTTAATTTTCTATCAAATGTTTTCGGTATTTTCACAATTTAGACAAAAAGAAAATATTTTTTTTTTCTTTCAAAGAAACTGCTGGGTGAAAAAACATCGTGTTTTGGAATAAATGTTTCCCCTTTCTGGAACAATTTGAGTAAAGGTTGTGTTTTGTAGTAACAGAGGGTCCTGAAAAAGATGTTGTCTGGCCTAGAGGGGAGGACTCCAATTTGGGGACACTTTTACTCTAATTCCTCCTTAATGACATTTTATAAACATTTTAGTTTATAACGGCCAAATAAGATTAGCCCAAATTGCTTTCCCCTTACCTTCATTAAAAAAAAAAAAAAGAAAGAAACATAACATTTTAAAACATCACTGCTGAACTTTCAAGAGTTAGGGTATGGCATGAAGTAGATTAACTATCTGTTGTCCATGTTCTTGCTAGACTGTGACCTAGGATGTAATTCAGTGCCTGACAAAGTAAGTCACAGTTACTAAATAAATAAATAAAAAAAGAAATTCACCCTATTTTAAAGAAAATGGATAGATTTATATATTTGATTGACATCATGTGGTTTTATATAAAACTATTGGCTCCTAGACCCCCCAAACAATATTGTTGGCAGAGAATTCTGCCATGGGCCAAGGAGTTTGCAGGTAGCTTGGTCACCTTGCTAAACCACACAGGTTTAATTTTATTTCCTTAGTGATTTCATATACCTTATAAACCATTCCATCTCAGATAAACCACAGATCAGACCTAACCTATTTCAGAGCTGTTGTAGCAAAAAGCTGTAAAGAAATATTTTCATTCTTTTCATGTAATTCCTATTGGGACAGAGTAAAGACCCTTAAATAAAAGCCAATTTGATTTATTCTGAAATCAAAGTTCGAATTTCCTTTTGTAGTTCAGCATGTGCATACTCAATTTCTTACATATATTAAGGGTGTGCCTTTTAAAACTTTAAGGCAGTATAGTAAAAAACATGCTTTGTAAACAAGAAAAAGTGCTAGGATTTTTCAAGACACTCATTCTGAAATTTTCAGTCTGTGTATCTTTAAATACATTTTAAAGAATTAGCAATCCATCAAAATTTCCACTAGTCATTATGTTATTTTTCAACTCTTTAAATTCAATATACTTCACAATGTAAATGATCTTATATTTGGTCCAAGCCTAAGTCATGCCACTTTGAATCTCTCAAGGCCTCAGTATAAAGGTATTTCCTGAAAAGCACATATAAGACTGCTAGTAAATCTTCTCCAGCACCAAAAAGTCTGCCACTGTCAAAGCAGAATGCATTTTAAAGGCACAAAGTCAGCAGTCTGGCCATTTTCCAGCCTCAGCAAAGAAAAACTAGAAGAATCAGTTGTGCATTTAAAAAACAAAATACATTTATAGTCATCTTAAAAAGTTCAAATTTCATTTGTTGACCCATACCAACATTAGAAAGAAGAAAAAACAGAGTGTAATATTTAATTTCCCCTGATAAATGTGTTTCCTTCCAATTTTTTTAAAAATTTACCTTGGTCTTCCATGCCCCCACCCCCATGTCAAGCTTTTTTTGTTCTAGTAGTTTTTATATATATTAACGTTTATTTGGTTTTTGGTACCTTCACAACTTGTTTGGAGTAAATTCACATCATATTCTATATAATAACTCTGTAAACTATTAGTCTATTTTAAAGTCTTTACATAAAAGAATAGTACTGTCCCATAGCTGATAATTTTTTCTCTTTTAAAATATAAAGCAATGGTCTTCTGCAGCAGTGTTAAGGTAGTAGTTTCTTTTCGGTGCCTTCATTTTCTATAGCATTTAAAAAAGAAAATGGAGACTGAAAAAAGCAAACAATTTTGCTTTGCATTCCATAATCTCCCCAGATTTCTTTCTTGAGAGTATTTGCCTCATATTCTGTACTGCTGGTTACCCTGACAGACCAAAAATGAGCCAAAGCGAAATCACAGGAGACAAAGAAACAAAGAAAAGTCCACTGGTCCAGATAGCATGATCTTGCTCAAGTAGAAAAAATACCCTCATTCATAAAAGTTAAGAGATTATAATAGATCCACATACTTGGGGATTATGTTTCTAGCTCAAAGATTAGGTAGTGGATTCATCAAAGCAGGAGGGACCTGATTTTTGTTCTTTGCAAGCTGCTTCCTTTGATTTTTCAGAGTATGGGAGAAGCGTCAACAACTAATTTTGTGCTTTGACTTCTCAGACTAGCAGATGGAATTTCAAATATTCCTTTCTACAGGAAATGCCAGGTGAGACCTTGATATGGTAAACCAAGACCTATCCAATTTTGAAAAAAAGTACTTTTGAGTCCCTAAATGAGCATACTTTGTGGCAGAAAATAAGAATACCTTAGTCCCTTAAGAATTCTATGAAAGGCATCACATTTACGGCCTCCTGAAAGACTATCATTTTCTAGATCTTTAAAAATAAAGTACTTCACACTTGCTTTGATAGGCTAAAAAAAATTATAAGTAGCCAAATTATTGACATCCTCATCTTTTTAATTAGCATAATTCCATTAGAGATGGTGGAATCTTTCCCAGCTGTCTCTTTTCATTTTATGCTCCTTCTCTTAGTGGATACCCTATTCTAGAAATGCCTTACAGCATTTTAACCTTCCTGTTTACTGTAAACATTTTGTTTGATATGCTTTTCTCTGCCCATGATTATGAATTGACTTTTAAGTAAAGAATACACACTGATGCTGAGCTCACTGATGCTAGTGACAATGCACATACCTCTTAGATATTCATATCTTCTAATCAAAACACATTGTTTCTAAAATGGAAGAATTACTGATTTGGATGTAAGAGTCTGCTGGTAAAGAAGTGATTGCTACTTGCTGAGATCATTCACCCTGGGCTTAAGGCAGTGGTATCTGCTCTTATAAAACCCTAATTTTGTAATACATTAAAACTTTTTCTTTAAAATTTGCTTTTTTTTTTTTTTTTTTTGTAATTACTACTTTGTAAATGGCTGTTTTCAGTTTATGGTTGGGACTGGTCTTTCCTTTGGGGTTTCTTAATTTCAGTATTTTTGACATTTGGAGCAGGATAATTCTTTTTGGAGGGAACTGGCCTCCACCCACTAGATGCCAGAAGTATCTTCCCATTTGTGACAAATAAAACGTCTCCAGGCATTGCTAAACCCAAGTGAAATGTCCCTGTGCCACCAATGACAATCTCACTATTTTATGTGGCGTCTTATTTTCTGAGGTGCTTCAGTATTCTGTGATCCCAAGAAAAGAATTTCTTCTCATTACATTAGCTTTACACACGGATACTCCAGGCTTCACCCTTAGTTTCTAAAGACTGTTAGCTATGGGAAATCAGGAGCTAGAAATAGGAAGACAGAATATATGATTTTTATTTTTTCTCAATTTCCTTAATTTTGGGACTTCCCCCCTCAAATAAAGCACATAGTTTAAAATACGCTAAATAACACTCAATTAATTTTTTAATTATTTCTGCTTACTAGCAAATGTGGTCTCTTCTTTGCTCACACATTTAATGAGAGCAATCTCTTTTTGTCTCTTAGTTAGCTTTACTCATTGACTTCCCATATCTGCTTTAAAACAAAACAGTATTTTTTTTTTTTTTAAAGCAGAACACTATCCCTCAAGGTTTACAGATTCCAGTAACATGGATCTATTATAGTGTATTTGCTTACTATACTGGTTAGAATTACAAATAAACATACCTCTTAGATATTCATATCTTCTATCAAGATTCCTACTGAGCAAAAAGCTTGGTAGACAGAGGTTATGATCTAAAGAATACAGATATAAGAAAAAAAATCTATATTCTTTGAGTACCTACCCTAAACTCAAGTTTAGGGCTCAACCCCACAAATGAGGAACTACTTTAAATACTATCACTAAAAACTACAAATTGTACATCATTTCCTCCTTGTCTTTCACGTCTCCCCAACACTATCAATATGTCAGCGATACAGGGAAAGACTCTACAATCTTTCGGTATTCCAAATGATTTGTTTGTACTAAAAAGACTTACTATGTACTAAAGTGCTTTATCTCTCTGAACCACATCAGTACATTATTTWAAAAAAAAAGTAGTTGTTTCAAGTTCTTGTAAGGGAAAAAAGACTAAATATAAAAAATTTAGGTTACTATTATTATTATTAAGCAAATTTAACCAAGAATCAAGAGAAATACTTTCCCTCTTGTCTTTTTTCTCCCCCATCTCTCTTTTTTTATAAAAAAAGAAAAGTGCAGTCAGAGAGAAGGTGAACGATCAGATGGGAGCTGGGTGGAGGCACAGGAGAGGTTACCAGCTGCTAGTGATAATGCACAAACATGTGCCTTAAGAGTTCATCAGCTGAAGGTCTCAGTTTGGCCTCTACAAAAATCCGTTTGAGGAAGTCTCGGGTATAGTCTGAAACATGAGGTGGCAGCTTTGGGTTTGTTGGCTGAGTGGCAATCTTAAAGATGGCAGCCATTGCTTCAAATTCAGCCCAAGGAGGTTTTTCAGTCAGCATTTCTACCACAGTACATGCTACACTCCTAAAAAGAAATAAACAGAAATACATAATATGAGCAATAACATCAGGAAAGAAAGCAGGCAAACCAGAAAATGACAAACAGGAATAAGTTCACACACATTTAAACATGACTTGATTCAAGTTTCATTAAAACACTTTTAATTACATAAAACCATAAAATAAACATAAAAATCAAAAGCATACCACAATTTAATTACTATCATGCCATCTCTGAGATGAGGCAAAGAACATTATTGATTTTATAATTTTTGCTTTATAATCTGCCTAATCTTAAAGATAATTTTTTGTCTTCTTTTTATAAAGAATATAAGTATTAGAAATTTTTTGCTAGAGTTTTTAGGCTGGGCATAGTGGTATATGCCTGTAATCCCAGCAGCTTAGGAGGCTGAGGCAGGAGGATGGCAAGTTCAAAGCCTGCCCCAACAACTTAGGAAGGCCCTAAATAAATCAGCAAGACTCTGTCTCTAAATAAAATATTAAAAGGGGGGAGGGGGGCGGGTGGCGTTGGGAATGTGGCTCAAAAATCCCTGGTACCCAAAAAAGAAAAGAAATTGTTTGCCTTGGGGTACTTACAATAAACATCGATGAAAGTTTTTTCTGTGTGGGAAGTAGGAAATGGCCATTTTGTGTTTTATAAATTATTAAGCAATTAAAGATCAAGTGAATATTAAGAACATTGATAATAATTAATTACTTTTAAACTTCTTCTGGGTAATGATATCTATCTAATGCTAAACTTTGCTTAAGACAAATCCTTCCTCAGAAGGGAATATAGGGAGCTGGAGTTGTGGCTCAGCGGTAGAGAGCTTGCCTAGCATGTGTGAGGTCCTGGATTCGATCCTCAGAACCACATAAAAATAAATCAATAAAATAAAAATGCAGGGCTGGGGATGTGGCTCAAGTGGTAGCGCGCTTGCCTGGCATGAGTGYGGCCCCGGTTCGATCCTCAGCACCACATACAAACAAAGATGTTGTGTCTGCCGAAAACTAAGAAATAAATATTAAAATTCTCTCTCTCCAAAAAAAAAAATAAATAAATAAATAAAAATAAAAATAAAAATGCGGTGTCCAACTAAAAAATAAATATTTTTTAAAAAAGAAGGGAATACAGGTTCCAGGACTCTATAAATATTTAGTTAAGTATAGTCTCAATGAGACACAGTTAAAATGATGTTAATCCTTACAATTCATACAGCCTAGTTCAAAAGACAAATAATTTAAATCTGGCTTAGTATTTTCAATTCTGAGTGAAAATACACATAAGGTAAGTTTTCAGGCAAATCTCACATCAAAACCTACCAGATATCTGCTTTTCTGCCATAGCCTTCTCCACTTATGACTTCAGGGCTCATCCAGTATGGTGTACCTGTGACAGACTTCATTCCTGTTCCAGAGAGACAGATAGTCTGAAGCCGTTTGCTGGCCCCAAAATCACCTAGTTTGACATTGCCTGTTGAATCTCGCAGTATATTTGCGCCTAAAAATAAGAGAGAACCTCACTTCATTAATTGTACTAGCATTCTTGAATATAGTAAAAAGAACAATGGCAGAGAAGTACTTAGTGGATTTTTTCAATCTATCCAAATTGTTGCTTTTCATCTTCTGAGGTGATGATGAACTGGCATACTACCAGTTACACAGTTGGAGCTAATTAAGGATTTGCTGGGTGAACACTGAATTTTTAATCAACTGTGTTATGCTTCAGAACCTAAGAAGGTTCTCCCACTCAAAAGAACTGTGGCAGAGGGGTGGGGGTGGAGGGTGAACAAGAAGAGAAGGAGTAGGGAAAGGCTAAAGAGTGAAGCTCAGTGAAGTACCAGGAAAGCACTAGGAGGCTCTTGGCCCCTGTTTCTCTGTCATAAAGGAAGAAGAGCATGGTTGAAAATTATTTTCCCAAGAAGTCAGTTTCTCCTCAGGAACTCACTGAGGGTACTTTATAGTCACAAACTTCTAGCACTTTCATCCATTATTTAAATATTAGTTACCTGTATTTTAAAGTTGTTCTTTAAAATTTTTTAGTTGTAGTTGGACACAATACCTTTATTTCACTTATATATTTCTATGTGGTGCTGAGAATCGAACCCAGGGTCTTGCATTACGAGGCGAGCACTCTACTACTGATCCACAACCCTAGCCCTAAAGTTTTTCTTAATATTGGGTTTTTGCCTTAATTTTACTTTTCCATTTCTATGATCATCTTGACATTTCTTTTTTTTTTAAAGACAGAGAGAGAGAGAATTTTTTAATATTTATTTTTTAGTTTTCGGCGGACACAACATCTTTGTTTGTATGTGGTGCTGAGGAGGGAACCTGGGCCGCATGCATGCCAGGCGAGCGCAATACCGCTTGAGCCACATCCCCAGCCCATCATCTTGACATTTCTAAGAAGCACTGATAGAGATTTTTATAGAATGTCCCTCAATTTGTCTCATGTTCTTCTCATGATTAGACTGGGGTTTATGAGTTCTGTGGAAGAAGACCAGAGGTAAAGTACTAACTGAAGCCCTAGCAAGCTATTACAGGCGCATATTGTCAACATCACTGTTGATGTTACCTTTGACACTGCCTGGCTGGAGGCAGTATTTGTTGCCTTCTCCAGTGTAAGGTCACTTCCTCTATTCTATACTGTATGTACATATTCTGTTTTTTGTTTTGTCAATGGTGCTTAACCACTGAGTCACATCTCCAGTCCTTTTTTAAATTTTGAGACAAGATTTCACTAAGTTGCTTAGAGCATCGCTAAGTTGCTGAGGCCAGCTTTGAACCTGTGATCCTCCTGCCTCAGCCTCCTGAGCCACTAGGATTACAGACGTGCCGCCACCACACCCAGCTCCACATTATAGTCATCTTAAAAAAATTCATTATGTGCAGTTCACAAGGAGAAGAGAATTGCACTCCAGGAATTCGATAAAATAATTCCTAAATTGGAATTATTCCGCCAGGAGAACTGTCCCATGTTCCCCATTGTTACGGTTTGGATGTGAGGTGTCCCCCAAAAGTTCATATGTGAGACAATGCAAGAAGGTTCAGAAGAGAAATGATTGGGTTGTAAGAGTTTTAACCTAGTCAGTGAATTGATCCCCTGATACGGATTAACTGAGTGGTAACTAAAGTGGTAGGGTATGGCTGGAGGAGGTGGGAACTGGGAGGTGGGAACTGGGACGTGGCTTGGGAGTATATATTTGTATCTGGCAACTGGATATCTCTCTCTGCTTCCTGATCACCATGATGTGAGCTGCTTTTCTCCACCATAATCTCCTGCCATGATGTTCAACGTCACCTCAAGCCTCAAGAAATGGAGCCAGCCTTGTTCAACTAAGATCTCTGAAACCGTCAGCTCTCAAATAAACCTTTTCTCCTCTACAAGTCAGTCCTTTAGTCACAGCAGCAAAAAATCTGACTAAAACACCCATTTATTATTAAATAATTCATTTATATTTCTCTGAACACATGGATATATATTTTACACTTTGGGCTATAATCTAGTACTACTTTATTTTTGCTCAAGTTTTGTCAGTTTTGGTCACTGGGAGCCCTTTCCACGGGCTCCTCTATCTCTTTGCCCTACCTCTAAAATTGTGTTTTTGAAAAGATGCCTAGGCTCATCTTGGATATTTCCTGCCCAAGACCCAGAATCAGTAACTTCTCTAATAAGCCCTGGTTTCTTTAGGAGACAATGGTATCAAAACCAAGATTTGCACTCTAGGCTCATTTGTTTTTTGCTCTCTATTTCCCACTCATCCCTGTCCTGTTTGTTCTGCAGTGCTGGAGACTAAACCCAGGACCTTATACATGCTTAGCAGACACTGTACCACTAAGATTGAACCCCAGACCTTTTATAAATTTTGAGAGAGAATATTGATAAATTTCCTATGCTGGCCTCAAACTTGGAATCCTCTTGCCTCAGACTTCCATATAGCTGGGATTACAGGCATGTACTAACACACTCAGAATCTAGTCCTTGAGACAGAATCTCACTAAGTTGTCCAAGGCTGCCTCAAACTTGTGATCCTCCAGAGTAGCTGGGACTACAGGTATCTATCACCACGCCCAGCTGATCAACTGATCAACTAAGTTTTATCACAAGTTTCATTATGAACTCATGGGTTTCAGCATACAACCAATTTTCTTTTCTTTTCTCTTACCACTTAAAAGTTGTTCTTAAAAACTGGGAAATACAGCAAAGTAAAAAGTATATAGTAGAGAACAACTATCCCTATTTTGCCATTATATAAGATTTAATCACATGGACATTTTCCTTCTGTGTCAGACTTAAATTTTATAAACCTGAGATTCTGTTACACATTCACTTTAACATCTTACTTTTCTCCCTCATCAATATTATTTGCCCTATAATGTTTTTAAATCCTCTTACTTCTACCCTCCTCATCTGACCAGGGTGGTTTATCAGTTTTTCTGGAAAGGTGAAAGAGGATTCCTGTAGTGAGTGGAACACTCAGTTTCTATGCCTTGCCTTATTATGAAGGCCAAGGAGAAGCTACCTTGAATACCCATTATTCCTAATTGAATAATTTCTCTATGAGGTACTTTTAAGTGATTAGATTTTATACTTAACAACTAAGGTCTGCCTAAAAGGGCAGATAGTCAGCCATATTCCTTGTACCTCTCACATTCACTAGTAAGCCCTACTCCAGTACATGTGATTTGGTTCAGGCATGGTACAGATCTATTGTTATCACCCAAAACTGGTTTAGGAATAAATGTTCTCCTTTGCCTGAATATGGCTACAGCCAGGATATGCTACAGTATAGGGAGGAAGCAAAAGCCCAGGACCTCACAGACTCCTTAGAAAGACCAATGAATAATGTATTTATATACAGACATTTATACTTATCAATTTATTTTTTGACTGAGTGATAAAAATGATTTCTAAATTGGAGTCATAACCCAGCTTATATAGAATCAGACCCTCCAGGTATGCTTTGCCATAGTTTTCATTTTCAGTACTTTCAAATTTCACACATTCCTAATACTTTTTTGATTTATATGCTTTACTTACATGCCTGATCCCTGAGAACAGTTGAGCTTTTAAGTTTAAAAAGCAAGTGTAACTGAGTTGGAGTTCTTCAAAACTCAGTCCTGTTCTCCATCCTACCCCTAGGCAATGACATCCATTCCTCTGACTTCAAATATGATCTCAACATCAAGTATGTCATCATTGTAGCTAACTTTTGAATGTCTTCTAGGTACCAGGCACTGCTCTAAGTAATCACATGCATTAAACTCATTTAATCCTTATAAGAATCCTCATGGAAGAGGAGCTAAAGTATAAGAGAAATTAGGTAAAACTTGTCCAAGATTACAGAGTCAGTGCCAAATAAAGTCTGAATTTAAGTCAGGCTGTTTAGTAGTAAAGCCCCAACTCTTAGCCACTACATTATTTTGTTTTGTTCTTTTGGTATTGGAAATTGAACCAGGGGCACTTACCACTGAGCTATACCCCCAGCCCTTTCTATTTTTTGAGACAGGATCTTGCTAAAATGTTTTATGGCCTTGCTAAGTTGCTGAGGCTGGCCTCAAACTTGAGATCCTCCTGCCTTAGTCTCCAAAATCACTGGGACTACAGGTGTGTGCCATCATGCCCAGTTTAACCACTGCATTATAATGCCTATGCAATATATTTACATATAGTGCATAAGTATTGCATGTATATCTTTACAGACATGGTGCCACTTATGTGATTTTGATCTTTATTGATTCTATGAATCCCCACTGTGGAGCTACTCATTTGTAGAGCCCTGAATATCAGGACTGTTTTAAGGATATTGACAGTCTGTGAGAAAAGCAGGAGAACTGTTTCCCTGTGGTATTTAAGAGGCAGATATATTAATTTAAATGTTAAATATCTTCAACATATCAATTATTTCATTCAGATTCAACAAGAATTATGCACTTAAGGTAAAAAACACATTGCTTACCTTTGATATCTCTATGGACAATCATATTACTGTGCAAATAATGGACACCCTCCAGAATCTGACGGGTGTATTTCCTAGTCACATTCTCAGTAAGAGCTCCATATGCTTTTAATTGGTCCTTAATTGAGCCCTAGGATAAAAGAAAACAACAACAAAACTATGGTATGGTTTGAAATGAAAATTGCTATTAAATCTTTGTTTTTAAGAGAGTCCTAGAGTTCATGACTGGGAAGCTATAGTTGGAGAGGGCAGGAATTGTCAGTAAAGACATAATATGCCACACAATTTAACATAAAAGTCACCTACATTCCCCAACTTTAACTGTGGAAGAGTATATGCCATAGCTGAGAGAAGCTATTAAAACTATGTTTTAACTGATGCCCTCATTTCTGTGACTATGTTGGTTTTAACAACCTCCTATTCTTTGCAACTTGGTTTTTAAAGGTTCTCCAGTACATCCATCTTGCACTTTTTTTTTTTTGCCTTGAGTATACTTTTGTTTTTCTTATTTGCTCATCTATGTTCTACTTGAATATTATTTATTCATTTTTTGTTCTTATTCTGTTTTTTATAAAGTGTTTTATTACATTCGTTAACTTATTACTCAGGAGAAAGAAAGAGTATGATTAGAAATCAGAACCAATTAAACTTATAGTTCTTACTATATATACTCAACACTCTAGTTCAAAACGTAACAGAGTATATAAAAGGGGAATATCAAACTTTTTATGTGTTTTTATAGGCCCAGGATGAGGTGTCTTTCTCCGAGTATGCTGAATCAGCCTGAGAGGTGAGACACAGGCATTTGAATTTTGAAAAAGCTTTCCTAGTGATTCCAATGTGTACATTATGGTTACTTATCAAGACTTCTAATAAATAAAAATAAATGCTTTACAGGGGAAAATTTTTTTAAAATAAGAAAATATGTCCTGATGTTTCTGTCTTTCCTTCAATTTTAGAAAACTATATACTCTGCCATACAAAATAGATCCTTGGATTTTACAGATTTAGTCATGTGGTGTTTCCATTCCTCATGAGTGATTCCTGCAGAGATGACAGTATGAAATTCTGCAGACTCAAACTCCAAACACACATGTGAAATGTTTGCCATTCATACCTGCAATCCACTGTGGCCCATTTGTTCACAGTCGATTTACTATGTCTCCACTTGTAGTGACACACAGTATTCTGTGTATATCTCAACTACAACTAAACACTCTAGACAACAGGTAGAAAAATACTTATAGGGTTATGGGAGATATGATCCTCTGGGCAGCTGGACCAGTGGTCTATGGCTGCTAACAGCTCCATTAATGTTGTCTGTTTACACCTGTGTACTATAAAAAATTAACTTCTGCAGCATGTACAACTGGAACAGATTGAGAAGAACTGTACCAGCTAAAAACCTGTGTGTGTGTGTGTGTGTGTGTGTGTGAGAGAGAGAGAGAGAGAGAGAGAGAGAGAGAGAGTGTGTGTGTGTGTGTGTGTAGAAGAGGAAAAGGGAGAGGGGGAGGGAGAGGGTTGAGGAGAAGAAGGAGTGTGGAAAGAGAGAGAAGAGAAGCCAAAAGCTAGTTTAGGTATCTAAAAAGTTTTTATGTAAAAAAGTTATGGTCCCAAGTATGAATACAGTTCTATACAAACCAAGGAATGGAAAGCTAAATTTGGGAAAACTGAAGAACGGAATGACAATTTTGACATTGTGATTCTAGGTCACAAAGGAGCCCATCATATTAAATTTAATGAGAGAAATATAGCATTTCACACATTTGGGAATTCAAGAAAGTATAGGAAATATATATAAATTCAGTTATTACCATAGTCTTGCTATATTATATGTTACATGTTTAATTCACTTAGACTATCAATAAGCTATCATTAATTTAGTAACATGCTTTTCAAATTCAAGGAATGACAACCTATGCTTTGATGGAGATAGGTGCCCTTACAAAACCAAGTGTAGCTAATGAGAAACAAGATCACTCAGCTCTCCCTTCCTGAATAGTCCTGGTCTTAGTCTTAAGGTTATACGATGATTATCAAAATGAACCCAACTACTATGTACAATTATAATGCTCTGATATGTATATAAAATAAGAAAAGATTGTGAAGGAAAAAGAAAATAAAGGGAAATTATATTCAATTTGAAAAATAAAAAGTTTTGAAATATTATAATATTCAATTTAAGAAATCTTTCTAAATGCATAACTATCACTTCATCATATACCAATTCAACTTAATATTTAAACAATAAGTACTTAAAATGGGTTTCATTATTTTCATTATATTCTCACAATTCAATGAAAGGAAGTTTACATTCTCAAAAAGATAATTATATAATAAATGTATAAAGATTATATATCTATACTTGTGATGTAAATCAGTTTTAACCATTTTAATTAATCTTACCTTCAATGATGAGTTTCTATTCATACTTATTCATAATTATTTTCTATTTAACATAAATATTTATTGCACAGACAGTAAAAGAAATGTGAATAAGAAAAATCTACCATAATCACATTTTTCTAAGTTTCTTCTTTGTTCAAACAGACACATTTAAAATATTGTAATCATTATTTAAAAAGCATTTTGTATTATTTTCCTCCCTCTTATTAAAATATTTCCTCAAACTTCATGATAATGATTTTCATAATTTTAACTTTTAGCACACATTCTCAAAAGAATGTCATCATAATTTATTTCCATTGTGGTCACTAAACCTCCCCTTTTTTTCCACTATCAAATAATACTAAAATACATATACAGAGCTTTCCCCTTCTTTCAGATTACTACTGAAGAAAAATTTCCATGAGATTATCATGTCTTCAATATATATATATTTTTTTTTTGAGAGAGAGAAAGAGAGAGAGAATTTTTTAATATTTATTTTTCAGGTTTTGGTGGACACGACATCTTTATTTTATTTTTATGTGGTGCTCAGGATCAAACCCAGCACCCCGAACATGACAGGCTCAAGTGAGCTACCACTTGAGCCACATCCCCAGCCCTGTCTTCAATATTTTTATTGCTCTTAATATATCCCTCAATTTGCTTTTCAAAGAGGGTGTGTGTGTTTTGCCTTAGACTTCTAGACTCAAGCAATCCTTCTTTCTGCCTTTTGAATAACTGAAACTATAAGCACACACCACAGGAGCACAGCTACCAAGGAAGATTTATTATACTTGCTAGGTAAGCATTCTACCACTGAGTCACATTCCCAGAACCCAAAGAGGACTTTTTAAAGTCCACTTGCACTGGAAATAAAATCTTTAAAAACAGAAATAGTAAAGATAACCACTGAGTAGCAATAGTGTCACTAGGAACAATTAGTTATTCATTATGATAAAAAATTCTAGGGGGCTGGGGATGTGGCTCAAGCGGTAGCGAGCTCGCCTGGCATGTGTGCAACCCGGGTTCGATCCTCAGCACCACATACAAACAAAGATGTTGTGTCCGCCAAAAAATAAAAATAAATAAATAAATATTTTAAAAAATTAAAAAAAAAAAAATTCTATTGTTGCTCATGTTACACTAAGGCTGATTAAGAATATTACTACCAGGTATTGATCCACACACAGTTTTACTGATCCATAAGCTCACATTGCAACCTATACCTGCTACATACAATTTTAATCAGCTACCTCCATAAAAACCTATAAGTCAAACTCCTTTTTCTGGCATATGCCATCCACTAAAATTTTAGACTATACATATTTTTAAATGAATATATCAACCACCATTCTGAAAATCATATATTAAAATGTCCTCTATAGATACAAATAATAACAATCTGTGACAAAAGGTAACAAATATCATTTTATAATTCCCATTGAAATTACTGACTTTAGGATGGCTGTAAATCAGTGTTAAAAACAAGTGTGGGGCTGGGGTGTAACTCTAACTTAGCAGTAGAGTGCATGCTTCAGCATGAACAAGGCCCTGGGTTTAATCTCCAGAATTTWAAAAAAAAAAAATTAGGGGAAAGTTTGGAAAGAAACTGAACATTCATATGTGCCACTGGTTTGCAGGAAAAAACAAAACTTTACAATGTAGGAATCAGGATGTCAGTCATCAAATCTAGCAATCACTCTTAGCATCTCTACGGTAAAATAACCACAAATTGAATGTCTCCTGATGGGATGCAACATAAAGTATACAGCTTCATCTATGACATATGAGCTAAGAAAGTATGAAATGGAATCTGACTTAAGAGTTTAGATCTAACCTGAAGTTCACAGGAAAAAAAGAAACAAGGAGCAAATTAAACAGAATCCATGAATGTAATTATAGAAATCTGTGAGATGAGACTGTTAAAAGTAACAACTCTCCTGGTCTCACCAAATCTACATCATGTAAAAATGGACTATGATAGATAAAAAATAAAGTTCAGAGATATAATGTACAACTATGTACAACTATAATGCTAACTTATTATTCAGGAGAAAGAAAGAGTATGATTAGAAATCAGAACCAATTAAATTTCTAGTTCCGGTTTGGATAAACTGGCTACAAGGATATTTTTAGGACATTTACCATTAATGAGTTTAAAAATACAAAGATACATGAAAAAAAACAGAAAATAAAATATTAATCAGCTCTAATTTAAAACTCTTCTAAAATTCCTTAACTAAGGTTATAATGAAAATTTTGTTTTCTTTCCTCAACTAAATAGAATGTCTACTTTTAAAAAAATGTAGTAGCTTACCCCTGGCATATATTCCATAAATATGGAAAGTGTTTTTTCCTGGGGATCCCTCAAACAGCCATAATACTGAACAATTCGCTCATGCAGCAAGTTTTTCAACAACTGAATTTCACACTCAAGTGCATTTACTTCCTAAAAGACAAAATTCACTGTTAAGTCTTTACAATACTGTAGAAACAAAAAAATTCTAACTTCAAGACCTATCAAGGTGATTACATTCTGAAATTTTTATTTCCCAAGGAACAAACACTTTAAAGTGGCTAATCAGTAGCTTCTTTAAAAGTCCCTCACAGTACGCTAAAGCAATACTATATCAGACTAGGAAGACAACTTAAATACTAGAAAAGAAGTATCCACAGTACAAAGTAGATAAATATAATTTATCTAATTGTTTTGCAAATCATTTGTATTAAGGAAAAGCTAAAGAGTCTTCTGTATATTACCTTTTTAAGTAAAAATGTTTTTTATAATGTGACAAAGTAGTTTGTGTAGTGATTTTTACCTTGCTGGTCTCAGGGCTATCAGGGTCAAATTGAACTTGCTTAACAGCCAATTCTCTTCCTGTATCAACATCATAACAGAGGTAGACCCTGCCAAAGGCTCCTTGGCCAAGCAGTTTGCCCAATCTCCAGTTGGTAGGTGCTCGAGGTGCTAAAAAAAAAGAACACTATCTTAAAAATGGGATAATCAGATGCACAAGATTGGTTAAGGACTAAATGAGTATTGTGGATAGTGCTTCCCTTCATTGAACATGCTAGGATATAAGCAAAAATCTTGAGTATCCAAATTCATTAAGGTCACTATTTTTCAAATATTTTCTCTTTTAAGAATTCTAAACCCTGGGCTGGGGCTGTAGCTCAGTGGTAGAGTGCTTGCCTTGCATGCAAGAGGCACTGAGTTTGATCCTCAGCACCATAAAAAAATAAATAAGTAAATATATAAAAATTTTAAAAAATTCTAAATCCAAATAAGATTCATATCTACAACTTCTATTTTTCTAATAAGATTTTTCCCCCAATTACAAATGTGACAGCATCTTTCACTGAATCTAAGATGCCACTGATTATAAGATTCACTATTTCTAACTTTTATCAATGCAATATTTATAATTACTTTATCAGCTTCTATCTACAGTGTCAAAAGCTGGAAGGAGCACTGTTTCCATCCTAACAACAAGAGTATCCTGGGTAACCTACAAAATTATAACCTTTACTGAACCTGTTGGAATGTTTTCCAGCCTGAAATTGGAGGAAAAATAAGCACCTCCAAGGAGAGATGGAACACAAGCACTGGCACACTTGTGGAGGGGCAGAAAGATCCACAATGGCAGGTAAGAAAAACTCAGTTTCACTTTTAACAAGCATGGGCTACATGAGAATACCAAACACTAGCGAGATCCTGACATAAAGTGGTTTCAGGCTTTTCCATAGACAATCTCCATGCACTCATAGGAGCTAGAGACCAGAGAAAGCCTCCTTTTGTAAGTTAAGACCTGAAGAATAAAATGAGCACTGTTGTTACTCTCTTCAGCTCTTCTCCCCTAAGACGTAAAAACCTTAAACTGTTGGAAGAAAGGGAGGCAAGAAACATCACCCACAGATGAGGTGAATAAGAAAAAAAGGGTGGGGGCTTATCCCTGAGGAGGGGCTAGAAACCATCATGGAGAAAACCCATCTCTGAGAACTGTAGAACTAGAGCCTGCCTAAGATGGAATCTGCATGGGACAGCTCTCAGCCCTCTATCCTGCCTCTCCTATAATATGCTAACAAGTAGCATCATGTACTGCTGAGGGAGGAGTGAGAGCACAGATAGACCTTCTCTCTCTGAAAAGGAAGGCCAAAAGCTGAGACTGGAGCATCACCATGGAGAAAATCCCTCTAGAAAACCAATACAAGGTAATTCTAGAGGAATTTGAAGTCAGTGGTAAATAGAAATACCAGCAACCACCAAATCTAAACCCAGCTGACTAGACCAATCAATCCCCCACAGTAATTGCCTAGGCAGAATAGTTCTGTCTATTTCCAGGCATAAATTATATTTACCTCAGTCTCCATTATCTGGCATTCAGTGTAAAGTTATAAGATGCAAAAAAGCAAACAAAAAAAAATCAAAAGAGAAATCAATTAATACAAGACTTAAGCGATTTAGACAGGATATTTAAAAGTACAGTGTTAAAGGTTCTAATTAAAAAAAAAAAGCTAACAACAGGCAGAGAATTTCAACAGAAATAAAAACTGAAGAAAAGAGTCAAATGAAAATGCTTGAAATTAAAAAAAAATCCTTCAAAAGAATAGACTCAGCAGGGCTGAGGAATGAGTCATGAATCTGAAAACAGATCAATAAAAGTTTTTCAAACTAAGAGAGAATGTTTGTAAATTCAAGTGCACAAAGATGTATAAGACACTATCAATTAGTCTACTGCATAGGTAGTAGAATAAAGAAAAATTTAAAATGGAATAGAAGAAATATTTAAAGAGATAATATCAGACTATTTTTGAGGGAAACTGCAGTGAAAGAACATTAGTTGAGAATCTCATACCAATATATCCAGACACACCATATTCAAACTTTTGGAAACCAAAAGAAAAATCTTAAAAGCAGCTGCTAGGGGGACAGGTAACAGGGGTGGGGGTGGTCGTGGTGCAGAGTTGATGTATAGAGAAGCACACTGTATACAGTATGACAAAAACAAGATTATAGCAGATTTCTCCTTATAAAGTATGTAAACAAGAAGAAAATGGAGAGATAACTTTTAAGTGCTGAAATTTTTTTAAAAACCCAAAAATAATGCCCAGAACACTATACCCAGGAAAACAAAAATATTTCAAAATGAAAAAGACTTCTATAAACAAAAGCTGAAAAGAATTTATTGCTAACAGACTTGTTTTATAAGAAAGTTTAAATGCAAATAATCTCCCTCCCCCTCCTCCTCTTCCTCCTCCTCCTCCTTCTTTTTTTTGGGGGGACGATTGAACTTAGGGTTCACACAGGCTAGACAAGTATTCTACCACTAAGCTAAACCCCCAGCCCTTCTTTTATTTTGAGACATGGTCCTGCTATATTGCTCAGGCTGGCCTGGAATTTGAAATCCTCCTGCCTCAACCTCCCAAATAGTTGGAATTACAGGTGTGTGCCACCCAGCTATACGCAATTCTCTAGGAAAAAGGAATCTGATACTTGACTGCATCTTAAATCTATATAAACAAAGATTTATAGAAATAGATAAACAGATGGTATATATATAAAGGATATTAAGGATATTCTTTTATTTTTTATCACTTTAAATACAGCTGTCTAAAGCAAAGAAAAAACAACATAGTGTGGGGTTATAGACATAAAAACTAAAGTATGCCAACACTAGCATAACAGGGAGAAATTCATAGCATACAAATTTTACTGCAATAAATATCTTTAAGAATGAATCTTTGATAAAGTCCAAATACTTTAAAATCTAGCCTTAGTTACCACTATAATCCATTCCTATGATTTAAAGTAAGCTATCTTCCACATTAGCAAATATGAATTACTCTCAATTTTCAAATTGTCATGGCCTCTTATACATGTCACTTCATTAACTAGTGAATTTCTACTCAGGTCTTAGATCTACACTAAATGCAATACTATATTTATTTCTCTATATACCATTTATCCCATTAGACTATATCTTAGAGATCATGTTTGAAATCTCAGTTTTAGGAACTTGACAAGGATATATGGAATGGAACAGATGACAAATTGAATAGCTGATAACATTTTTTCTAATAAAAATGAAGGACAGAATTAACAAGAGAAATCAGCAATAATACCATTATTACACCAGACATTCCGGCCATTTTTAGAAACTCCCATTATGATCTCCTTTGAAAAGTCTTGTCTTACCATGAATACTCATTTGGTATTTATTCCTGTTAATATTATAAAATTCTGCAAGGTTCTACTATACATTTCACTATGACAATTTTTATTACTTACAACGGCTGGGTGGGCTGATGTCCATTACAGTCAAAGTAGGATTGTCTATATCACTTCCCCTTCTTCTTATTCGACTATCATCATACTCTGGGGTAAAGATGCTGCTTCCACTACTAGTACTTAAGGAGTGATCAGTAGGACTGAAACTCACAGGAGATCTGAAGCTGGTCCCCTGGGTTCTTCTAGCTCTTGGAAAAGTTTTTCGACCTACAAAATGAAAACAGAATTAACTTATTCCTTCTGTTAATATGTTTTAGTTTTAAAGTATTTAAAATTTATATGGTAGGAAACAGACATTTTTCTGGTAACTAGGCTAAAGAACTGAAATGGCAATAATTGTGGGGTTAAAAAAAAATTAGGATCTAAACATAAATTCAAATAGTAACTTATGTACATACATGCACATACACAAAATAAACTACAAAATAGAAGCCCTTCATTTTTGGATAAAAAAAATAATTTATTCTCATTTCCAATGATTTTAAAATACAAAACAAAAACTAAAAAGTTTATAGGTAGTTTTCCCCTAAAATGGACAATACATGTATGAATTTTATCATAAAGGAATAATTTTCTAATTAATCATTTTAAAATTATTCCTTTTCCCCCATATTTTATTGTATATTGTAATTCTATATTTTAAATCATGGAATTTGTCAAATTACTCCTTTTAAAAGAAAGAAAGATAAGTATTATTACATTTTAGAAACAATACTAAAATGTAACTATAGTTTTAGTTATGACCCAATTTCCTTAAAAAGGCTTTTTTTAAAACCAGAAAACTGATTCAAAAACAATATTTATATATTACACAAATGAATTTTTTCCTAACATTTTCTATTTAGTTTTATATATGAGATTTTTCCAAAGTGTTATGATCTAACTGCCAGAAACTTACCATCATTATATTCTTGATGATGATATGAAACATGATACCTTCTTGGATATGTTCCTCCTTTTCCATACTTCTCAAAGATAGGGTTATCATAGTCTGTGAAGACATAAGAAAGCTACATCACAAAAAAGTCAAGTGTTTCTAATGATGAAAAGTATACTGACAAAATTTTTGATTTTTCAAAAATCTTCCCTCTCTCCTCCCCTGCTAAAACATTACTGTAACATAAATATTTAAATATTTAGAATTCATATAGTCTAACCTGAAAACTCCTGATGATTATCTGGGTAGCTCTGTGCCCTGGGCATTCGTGATTTTGGATAGCTTTCTCTATAAACAGAAAATGTCACATTAAATTAAAGAAAATATTAAAATAAAATGTAAAAAATATTTAAGCTATATCTGTGTGTTTGTGGGTCTTTACAAACATTTATTTGATACATATAGGAAAATGTATATTGCATATGGCTTTTAAAATTAACCTATATAGTGGTAAGAATGATGCATTTTGGAATCATAGTTATCTAGAAACACCTATCAGTCCAAGCTCTGTATAACCAAGATCATTTTTGCATCTATACAAAAAAAATAATTTCAAACTCATCAAATACACACACACACACACACACACACACACACACACACACCTATGTAAGCATTCAGGAGAGTACATTCCAAATAGTATTCACTATATAGTTTTCTAATTACTACTTCCCTAACTTTCTTAAATGTCTATCTTCAGGTAGACACTGACACAGACAAGAGTTTCACGTAGATAGACAATTGATCCCTAAAACCAAATAAAAAAATTCATAAAGCAATTCTAGGGATTAAATAAGTGAAGATTTTAATACTGACTGTGTGATACAGTATGACTACCAAGAACAATGTCCAATTACAACCAGAAGAGTACACATTTGTAACAAAAAATTCACAGTTGCTACTTGATCCTGCTCACATCCCTGTATTACACAAAAAGTATTTGAATTTTTAAAATGTCAACCAACATACTAAGCCACAATTAAAGAATTTAAGTTATTTCTGGTGCCAGGATGAACATAATCCTAACAGGGAAGCAACTCAAGAAATCTCCAAAACCAAATATATTAAATTTGGAGAGGATGTGGAGAAAAAGGTACGCTCATACATTGCTGGTGGGACTGCAAATTACTGCAGCCAATATGGAAAGCAGTATGGAGATTACTTGGAAATCTGGGAATGGAACCACCATTTGACTCAACTATCCCTCTCCTTGGTCTATACCCAAAGGACTTAAAAACAGCATACTACAGGGACATAGTCACATCAATGTTTATAGCAGCACAATTCACAATAGCTAAACTGTGGAGCCAACCTAGATGCCCTTCAGTGGATGAATGGATAAAAAAACAATGTGGCATATATGCACAATGGAATTTGACTCAGCATTAAAAGAGAATAAAATCATGGCATTTGCAAGTAAATGGATGGGGCTGGAGAAGATAATGCTAAGTGAAGTTAGCCAATCCCCAAAAAACAAATGCCAAATGTTTTCTCTGATATAAGGAGGCTGACTCAGAGTGGGGTAGGGAGGAGGAGTAAGGGAGGATTAGATGAATTCTAGATAGGAAAGAGGGGTGGGAGGGAAAGAAGGGGGCAGGGGATTAGCAAGGATGGTGGAATGTGATGGACACTATTATTCAAAATACATGTATGAAGACTCGAATTGGGGGTCAACATACTTTATATACAAACAGAGATATGGAAAATTGTGGTATATATGTGTAATAAGAATTGTAATGCAAAAAAAGTACATTTATATAAAGGCATGAATTGGCGTAAACATAYTTTATATACAAAGATATGAAAAACTGCTCTATATGTGTAATAAGAATTGTAATGCATTCTGATGTCATGTATTTAAAAAAATCAATTAAAAAAGAAAAATATGATAAGTTTCATAAGTACAGTTTTTAAAAATAAGCACACATAAATTCTAAGTTTGCATTTGGCTTCAAACACATCTTTGGCAAGCAGAAACACTTAAAACAGTATCATCAGATATCATTTTAGCCAATAACACTGAGTTCCATGAGGTTAAGGGATTTATCTGCACTATAAAGAATTTCATTCACCATCAGTAAGAACAAATGTCAATTAACTATATTCCCGTAAATGTAGTACAAAGAGTTATTGATAATTCTACATGCTGTGTATATGTGTATATTACTCATATGTATTAAAAAACAAAACTACAATTGACATTACCCATCCAAAGGACTATCAAGTGATGGACAACTTCCTGAGCCAGAATTTTCAGGGCTGCTTAAAGATAATGGATCCAGCATCTAGGAAAATAAAGAGTTCCATCATGATTCAATCTGATACAACCAAAAGTCTTAAAAAAATATTTTATTGAGATAAAACTAACCCATTTAAAGGGCATAATTCTATGGCTCTTGATATACGTACAGCTGTGTAACCCTTACCACAATTTTTGAACACTTTCATTACCTTCAAAAGAAACCATACCCAATAGCAGTCACTCTCCAGAGTTATTCATTTCTAAATGTCTTGCACAGATAGGCTTACTTCAAAGTTCCCTAATAGTCCTTTAAAATAATTAAAGCTAAAATGTTTCATATAATTTTACTTACTGAAAATTGAATGATGGCCCCACCCTAATTGAGACTAATTACACAGTGACTACTACTGCAGTAGTGTGAACATCCAATGTTAAGAAAATAATAGCAACTCTATAAAAACATTTTAATAATGAATTATTTTTAAAAAGTTATAAAAAGTTCACAAACCTCAGTTTCATAAAGTTAAATATTTGTAATTTTGTTCTTTCAAGTGTTAATGTAAAAAATCTGAATGCTAGTTATCCCTGGGATTAAAAACAAATGCATTTATTCATTCATTTATGGGTAAGCAATATTAGGAAAGGTAGCCTTTCAGCAGTTTTCTGTATACTTCAATACATAAAGGCACATACAAGTTAATGTGCAGTTTCTTGTTTATTTAAATGATTTTGTTCACTTAAGAAAGATACAGGGGAGAAATGAATTACAGTAGAGGGGGTCGAGAGAGAAGAGGGGAGGGGAGGGGAGGGGGGATAGTAGAGGATAGGAAAGGCAGCAGAATAAAAGAAAATTAAAAAAAACTTTTTTTAAAAATTAAAAAAAAAAGAAAGATACAGGATTGGAGAAGAGAAAACACACACACACACACACACACACACACACACACACACTCAGATACTTGCCAAATCACACTGACTCTTACCAATATCCCTTTAAATAAAATGAAAAATAACATCTGACTTCAGCTTACTTGGTCCATGCTCTCTGGAATAAATTCTCCTTCACTGTTGATACTAGTGAATGACCCATTCCGGGCTACCTGGTGCAATTCATCTGGAATGTATCCTGGGGGAGGAGAGCTTCTATCTCTATTAGTGGGACCTGAAAGGAAGAAAATTATGTGATTTATAAATATCAGAAGGAAAAAATTGGAGTATAACTAAATAGGCTAATTGGGCATATGCCTGTAACCTTGACAACTTGGGAGGCTGAGGCAAGAGGATCACAAGTTTAAGGCCAGCCTTAGCAACTTAGTGAGACTCCCATCTCAAAAAATTGAAGATATAGCTGAAGATATAGTTGAAGATATAGCTCAGTGGCAAAGTATCCCTGGGTTCAATTCCYGGTACCAAAAAATACTAAATAGGCTGTATTTCTGAACTATATCAAAATAATTTAAGCAAATGAAACCCAGTGTTTATTAACATTTATCAGAACATTCATGTTTGTAAAACTTCAGATATTCTTACAACCATTCTAAACTCCCACTCTACTTTAATTATTAACCTTACTGTGATATCCATTTATACTTATCAGGTGCTCTTCTGACTGTTGACAACTACATTATATTTGATGATATATCATAGAATTTTTTTCACAAGATCTTTATTTTACATTTATGTAGTGCTGAGGATCAAACTCAGTACCTCAAGCATGCTAGGTGAGCACTCTACCACTGAGCCATAACCCCAGCCAGATGGAATTTTAGCTAAATAAATACCACCGCTTTTGAATTTATTGCAGATAATTCATATTTGTAAACTTTTTACATAACTTGTGGAAAGCATCATAATGTAGTGAAAGCATGGAGTCAGACCTTAGTTTAATCTTGGTTCAAGTTATTTACCAGCTGAGTGGCATTGGAAAAGTTACAAGATCATCATGCACCTGTTTCCCAGTTTGTAAACATGGGACTAATTCTCCTTTTTGCAAAAATGTTTTGGTGATAAAATAATTCATGACAAATGAATGCTATCCACATTTGTCTCCATGATATTCTTTCCATTCCTCTTTAGATACCTTAAGTGAGATTACTTCTTAAATCATTTAGTCCATATTAGGGTATTTTAAATTTGGAATCCTGGACTATATTTCTGGGCACGTAAAATTAAGTCTGTGTGGCAAACCATATTCCTGGAATTTAAATTTCTTTGTAGTGTAGAAAAATGGAGAAATCTGGCTTCCATTTAAGATAGTCCTTTAATTAATCACAATTCTTATCAGATAAAAATCCATCTTATTTTAATGTGGTTCTTTGGAAATAATGCTGTTTCTGAATATAATTTCTCCCTCACCTTATAATTTTTTGAAATTAAACTAGCAAAAAAGCTTTATCTTTGTGTAAACAGGTCATTTTAAGTATATGCCAGCACTTGTTAGTAAGAAAGAAAGCAAGATAATTACCAAATCCACACTTATCTGTAAAATGTTTAGGGGCTCAATCTGAGTCAGGGTTGATTGAGGCTCTGTTAACAACTAATAGCCAAAGGAACAAATTGAACCCTAATATTTTTATTCTTCCACATATCATTGGTTATAAAAGACTGACATATTCTACTACTAAAAGGAAATAGGGAGAAAAGAGACTATGAAAATTCCTCCTTTTTAGGGGGTAGGTACTGGGGACTGAACTCAGGGGCACTTGGCCATTGGAGCCACATCCCCAGCCCTATTTTGTATTGTATTTAGAGACAGGGTCTCAGTGAATTGCTTAGTGCCTCGCTTTTGCTGAAGTAGGCTTTGAACTCCGGATCCTCCTGCCTCAGTCTCCCAAGCCACTGGGATTACAGGCGTGTGCCACTGCACCCAGCACTCCATCTCCTTTCTTGATAGCCCATTTTTCTTAACCTCTGTTAGCAATGGGCATGCTAATGCACTCTTGGTAATTCTAGACAATTGCTGATTTTTCCCCCCTTAATGCTAGCACTAAGGTCAAACAACAAAAATACTTATTGGTAGAATAAGACTGAGGTATTCAGTACAATTTTAATTTAAAAGGAATTTAAAATATCAGCTTAATGCATTAAATTCCATTGTGTATATATATGTCACGTTTTTTAAAATCCATTTATCTACTGAAGGGCATCTAGGTTGGTTCCCACAGTTTAGTTATTATGCATTGTGCTGCTATAAAAATTGATGTGGCTGTGTCCCTGTAGTATACTGTTTTTAAGTCCTTTGGGTATAGACCGAGGAGAGGGATAACTGGGTCAAATGGTGGCTCCATTCCCAATTTTCCAAAGAATCTCCATACTGCTTTCCATATTAGCTGCACCAATCTGCAGTCCTACCAGTAATGTATAAGTGTGCCTTTTTCCCATATCCTTGTCAACACTTATTGTCTGTCTTCATAATAGCTGCCATTCTGACTGGAGTGAGATGATATCTTAGAGTAGTTTTAATTTGCATTTCTCTAATTGCTAGAGATGATGAGCATTTTTTCATATATTTATTGATTGATTGTATATCCTCTTCTAAGAAGTGTCTGTTCAGGTCCTTGGCCCATTTATTGATTGGGTTATTTGTTTCATTTGGTGCTTAGCTTTCTGAGTTCTTTATATACCCTAGAGATTAGTGCTCTACATGATGTGTGATTGGTAAAGATTTGCTGTCTATTCACCTCACTGATTGTTTCTTTTGCTGAGAAGATTGAGCCCATCCCACTTATTGATTCTTAGTTTTAATTCTTATGCTATGGGAGTCTTATTAAGGAAGTTGGGGCCTAATCCCACATAATGAAGATTAGGGACTACTTTTTCTTCTATTAAACACAGAGTTTCTGGTTTAATTCCTAGGTCTTGGTCCACTTTGAGTTGAGTTTTGTGCATGGTGAGAGATAGGGGTTTAATTTCATTTTGTTGCATATGGATTTCCAGTTTTCCCAGCACCATTTGTTGAATAGGCTATCTTTTCTCCAATGTATGTTTTTGGTGCCTTTGTCTAATATAAGACAATTGTAATTGTGTGGGTTAGTCTCTTGTGTCCTCAATTCTGTACCATTGGTCTACCAGTCTGTTTTGGTGCCAATACCATGCTGTTTTTGTTACTATTGCTCTGCAGTATGGTTTAATGTCTGGTATAGTGACACCACCTGCTTCACTCTTCCTGCTAAGGATTGCTTTAGCTATTCTGGGTCTCTTATTTTTCCAGATGAATTTCATGAATGCGTTTTCTATTTCTATGAGATATGCCATTGGGATTTTGATCAGAATTGCATTAAATCTGCATAGTGCTTTTGGTAGTATGGTAATTTTGATAATATTAATTCTGCCTATCCAAGGGCAAGGTAGATCTTTCCATCTTCTAAGGGTTTTTTTTTTATTTCTTTCTTTAGGGTTCTCTAGTTTTCACTGTATAGATCTTTCACATCTTTAATGAAAGAGGTATCCCAAGTATTTTATTTTTTTTTGAGGCTATTGTAAATGGGGTATCCTAATCAAATCTTTTGCTTTGTCCCACTCTTCTGTTTCCTCCCTATTTGTCCTTTTGTCCTCTTCTACTTTTGCCCTTCAAATACATAATCTCATGCTATCCTTAATGACCACATATCAGTAGTTTTGAATAATGAAATGCTTTTATCTTTTTTTAAAAAAAATGCACATTATCAACACTTTATACAAACTGAAGACAACACATAGAACTGAAGAGTTAAGAGCACACCTGCCACCAGGCTTGGTGGTACATGCCTGTAATCCCAGAAGCTCAGGAGGCTAAGGCAGGAGAATGGTGAGTCCAATGCTGGCCTCAGCAACTTAGTGAGGCACTAAGCAACTCAGTAAGACCCTATCTTTAAAAAAAAAAAAAAAAAAAAAAGCACTGGGGGTGTGGCTCAGTGGTTAAGTGCCCCTGGGTTCAAACCCCAGTACCAAAAAGAAAAAACACATCTGAGTGCTGTTTAAACTAAATAGTTTGTCCATTAGGCTTATTGACATACAAGGTGAAAATTTGGTGAATGATAGTTTCTGAACAGATATGTAAATAATCCATCAAACTCTTGAGGTCATTTTCAGATATGCTAGATAATAAATATTTTGGAAAAAAAAAGAAAAAACACATCTGCCTTTCCCAAGCCCTACTAAGGCCACCTTATGATACAGCACATAGGATCTTTATTTCTTTATATCATAACCTTAATTGTAGCAATACAGGGGCTGGGGTTATAACTCTATTCTATTTATATAATTAAAGCATTTTCCTGATAAATATATGTAAAGCACTTGCCTCATGCATATGAGGCAATGGGTTCGATCCTCAGCACCACATAAAAAGAAATAAAGATATTGAGTCTATCTTTTAAAAAAATATAGCAATATATTATTAATGGTAAGTAAAAACTGAATAATAAGAAAGTATAATAAAGGCAAAATGTGGTATTTTTTGGCAATCTTTATTGTGACTGCATTCTTCAATAATTAAGACCTTACAGAAAGTTTTAGAAACTTAAGAATCTAGTCTATTAATTTTAATATACTAGAAGTACTTTTTTCCCCCTCTTTTCTTTTATCTTGTGTGTGTGGAGGGGAGGGTTTACTGGGGATTTAACTCAGGGGCATTAGAACACTAAGCCACGTGCCCAGCCCTGTTTATTTATTTTTTTAAATACATGACATCAGAATGGAATGTATTACAATTCTTATTACACATATAGAGCACAATTTTTCATATCTTTGTATACAAAGTATGTTCATGCCAATTTGTGCCTTTATACATGTACTTTTTTTTCATTACAATTCTTATTACACATATATACCACAATTTTTCATATATCTGTTTGTATATAAAGTAGGTTGATACCCAATTCATGTCTTCATACATGTACTTTGGATAATGATGTCCATCACATTTCACAATTCTTGCTAATCCCCTGCCTCYTCCCTTTCCCTCCCTCCCCTCTGCCCTATCTAGAATTCATCTATTCATCCCATATTCCCCCTCCCTACCCCATTATGAGTCATCCTCCTTATATCAGAGAAAATATTCTGCATTTGTTTTTTGGGGATTGGCTAACTTCACTTAGCATTATCTTCCCCAACTCCATCCATTTACCTGCAAATGCCATGATTTTATTCTTTTTTAATGTTGAGTAAAATTCCATTGTGTATATATGCCACATTTTTTTTTATCCATTCATCCACTGAAGGGCATCTAGGTTGGCTCCACAGTTTAGCTATTATGAATTGTCCAGCCCTGTTTTTTGTATTTTATTTAGAGACAAGGTCTTACTGGGTTGCTTAGTGCCTTGCTTTTGCTGACACCGGCTTTGAATTTGGGAACACATGCCTCAGGCTCCCAAGCTGCTGAGACTAAGGGAGTGTGCTACTGCAACCAGTCCCTCTATTCTATTCTATTCTACTTATTTATTTATTATTAATTTTTTTTGTGTGTGGTAATATTGTTTATTGAAGGGTGAAGTATTCAGAGAAGAACTTGGAATTAATTGGACTTAGATATAGAAGAATTGAGAGAGGGATAGATATTCATTTGTTCAAAAAACATTAGGCATATCTTATATACTGTACTAGAAAACAGAGCCAGATTTTGAAATAAAATGATATTTTAATAAATACCGACAAGGCATTAGATAAAATGCAGTATCTATTCCTAATTTTAAAATTTTTCATTAAAATAGGAATATATGKTTTTTTAATTATGAAATTTATCAGTCAAACAAAAAAGGTAAAACAAACAAAAAAAACCCCACAAATATGTACCCAAGACATAGCTTAAAAAAATACTGCAGATAAGCTTTCGGGTGCCCATCCTTGAACACATTTCCTTCCTTATCCCCCAGGAAGCCCACTTGCCCAAATTTGTTGTTGATCATTCATATTCCAATCTTTCTTTCTTTTTTAATGTTTATTTCTTAGTTGTAGGTGGACAAAATATCTTCATTTTACATTTATGTGGGGCTGAGGATGGAACCAAGTGCCTTGTGCATGCTAGGCGAGCGCTCTACCACTGAGCCACAACCTTAGCCATTATATTTCTATTTCTGCTATACATGTGTGTATTTCTAAACATGATAATACATTTTTGCATATTTTGAATATGTTATAAATACTAATTCTTCTGCAGATTTTCTGTTTGGTCATGATGTTTTTAACTTACTCCCAAATAGTTCAGAGCAAAAACATTATACTGTGGTATGTATACAGAGAGAGGGTATAATATACACATGATAACAGTGCATTCATATAACACAAAGAATGGTACAATAAAATCTGTTTACATTTCTCCTTGTGCACATGTTCAATAACATATCTAGTGTGTATTAGGAATGAAAACAGTTGGTCCTAGAATATGCATATTTGAGATGTTATTAAAGTGCTCTCCAATAAAATGAACTAAGCTACACTCTTAGGATATGAAAACTTTCTGTTACTTTACATCCTTGCTAATACTTGGTATTGTCACACTAAATTTTTGTCTTTTTTTTTTTAATTTTTATTGCTGGTTGTTCAAAACATTACATAGTTCTTGATATATCATACTTCACACTTTGATTATATTTATATAATTAAGAGCTCTACAAGGCTTTATTTGAATTTATTTAACATTAAAGTACTGTGAATATATAATACAAAGAATCTTGATTGAAGATTGCTAATACTATAATATGTAAAATTAATTTCCAAGGATTAACAGACACTTAAAAACTAGTTAACTTAGATAATTTGCAGAGTATAGAAATGGGATGCTATTTAGGAATATGTTTAGGTGTTGCCCTCCATTAAGAAATTGAGAAATCTGGGCTGGGGATGTGGCTCAAGCGGTAGCGCGCTCGCCTGGCATGCGTGCGGCCCGGGTTCGATCCTCAGCACCACATACCAACAAAGATGTTGTGTCCGCCGAGAACTTATAAATAAATATTAAAAATTCTCTCTC